AGAGCCCCCTCCCCACCCCTGTGACACCCTGCCTTGTCCCTCCTCCCCCTGGGGACCCCTCTGGTGTCCCCAGCCGGGACAGGCCACCCCAGGGCTCCGCTGTCCCCACAGCCGGGACCACGCGGCCGAGCTGGAGGCGCTGCGGCGGCGGGGCCGGGACAGGGGCAGCGGGCGCAGGTGTCCCCCGGGCCGGTACTTCGGGGGGACCCGGGGCCGGGGCGACACCCGGGAGGGGGACACCCCGGGAGGGGGACACCCCGGGAGGGGGACATCGACAACCCACGGACTGGGAAATCCCGTGAGGGGCGACATCCCGGGAATAGGGGACATCCGGGAGGAGGGGACACCCCGGGAAGAGGGGACACCCCGGGAATAGGGGACACCCCCGGGAAGAGGGGACACCCCCGGGAATAGGGGACATCCGGGAATAGGGGACACCCCGGGAATAGGGGCACCCCCGGGAATAGGGGACATCCTGGGAATAGGGGCACCCCGGAAGAGGGGACACCCCGGGAATAGGACACCCCCGGGAATAGGGGACAGCCCGGGAAGAGGGGACATCCTGGGAGAAGGGGACACCCCGGGAAGAGGGGACACCCCCGGGAGAAGGGGACACCCCCGGGAATAGGGGCACCCCGGGAATAGGGGCACCCCGGGAATAGGGGACACCCCGGGAATAGGGGCACCCCGGAAGAGGGGACACCCCCGGGAGAAGGGGACACCCCCGGGAATAGGGGCACCCCGGAAGAGGGGACACCCCGGAGGAGGCACAGCAAGGAGCGGTGGCTTCCCTGCCATTGTCACCGTGTCCCCAGGGCAGCGGGACCCGTGCGGGACTCACTCCCCGTCCCCCCCTTGCAGGAAGGGCTGAGGCCCCGCAGCCCCTCGGTCCCGCAGCCAGCGCCACATCGCCGGTACCGCGGGGTCCCCGGTGCCGCGGGGTCCCCGGTGTCGCGGTGTCCCCGCCGGTACCCGCGGGGCTGGCCCGGCCCCGGAGCCGCCAGCGCAGCGCGGCAGCGATGGGGTGGGACACGGCTCCTGATCCCGCGGTCCCCGATCCCATCGATCCCTGATCCCACTGATCCCTGACCCCATCGATCCCTGATCACACTGATCCCTGACCCCATCGATCCCTGATCACACTGATCCCTGATCCCACTGTGCACCATGACTCCATCCCGTGTCCTGATCCCATTGATCCCTAATCTTAATTCCTGATCTCACCGTGTCCCAAATCCCAATCCCGGTCCCGGACCCGCCATGTCCCAATCCCGATCCCGATCCCACCATGTCCCGATCCCGGTCCCGGTCCCGCCATGTCCCGATCCCGGTCCCGATCCCACCATGTCCCAAATCCCAATCCCGGTCCCGGTCCCGCCATGTCCCGGTCCCGGTCCCGGTCCGATCCCGCCATGTCCCGATCCCGATCCCGATCCCGATCCCGATCCCGATCCCGATCCCGATCCCGCCATGTCCCAATCCCGATCCCGATCCCGGTCCCGATTCCGGTCCGATCCCGATCCCGATCCCGATCCCGCCATGTCCCGATCCCGATCCCGGTCCCGATCCCGATCCCGATCCCGATCCCGATCCCGATCCCACCATGTCCCAATCCCGATCCCGATCCCGATCCCAATCCCGATCCCACCATGTCCCAATCCCGATCCCGATCCCGGTCCGATCCCGGTCCCGGTCCCGGTCCCGGTCCCGCCATGTCCCGATCCCGATCCCGATCCCGGTCCGATCCCGATCCCGGTCCGATCCCGCCATGTCCCCATCCCGGTCCCGGTCCCGCCATGTCCCGATCCCGATCCCGGTCCCGATCCCGATCCCGATCCCGATCCCGATCCCGATCCCGGTCCCGGTCCCGGTCCCGGTCCGATCCCGATCCCGATCCCGATCCCGATCCCGGTCCGATCCCGGTCCCGCCACGCCCGGCCCCTCCGTGCTGCCCCCCGTGTCCCCTCCCAGACACAGCCGGGTCCCTCCTCCCCTTTTCGGGGCGCTTCGGGCTCATCCCGGGCGCGCTTTTCCCTGGAATTCCCGCCGGGAGTCGCGCCCGCGGCGCTCGGGAGCCCGGGAACAGCGGGGATTTGGGGAATTAATTTGGGGAATCTGGGGAGGATCGGGCAATAAAAGCTGCGCTGCTCGCAGGACACCTCCCTGTGCCACCCCCTGTGCCACCCCCTGTGCCACCTCCCTGTGCCACCCCCTGTGCCACCCCCTGTGCCACCTCCCTGTGCCACCCCCTGTGCCACCTCCCTGTGCCACCCCCTGTGCCACCAGCCCCATGTCCGCTGTTCCCCTGACCCCAATTGTCCCCCCCCAAACCCGAATGTCGCCCAAATTCCCGGGATTTCTCCCATCCCGGATCCCAGCGGCTCTGCCAGGGACCCCAAAACAGCCCGAGAGGGGAACTGGGGACCCCAAAACAGCCCGAGGGGGGCTGGGGACCCCAAAACAGCCCTAGGGGGAACTGGGAACCCGAAAACAGCCCGAGGGGGGCCTGGGGGACCCCAAAACAGCCCGAGGGGGAACAGGGGATCCCCAAAACAGCCCGAGGGGGAACTGGGGGACCCCAAAACAGCCCGAGGGGGAACTGGGGGACCCCAAAACAGCCCGAGGGGAAACTGGGGACCCCAAAACAGGCCGAGGGGGGCTGGGGATCCCCAAAACAGGCCGAGGGGAAACTGGGGACCCCAAAACAGCCCGAGGGGGAACAGGGGATCCCCAAAACAGGCCGAGGGGGGTGGGGGACAGAGCCGCCGCCTGTCCCGGGGCCGCTCCCGGTGAGTGTCCCCGCGCGGGGACATCGCTGCCACCGTGGCTCCGCCCAGCCGGGAATGGCAGAGCCGGGGTGTCGCCGTGTCCCCACCCTGGGGACACCCTGGGGACACCCTGGGGACCCGCAGGGACTCGGCGCAGGGAAAAGGGCGGCCTTTGGGGTGGCACGGCCGCACCCTTGTCCCTCAGTGCCACCCCGGGGGTGTCCGGGGCTGTCCAGGCCGCTGTCCCCCTGTCCCCATCTGTCCCCCCGTCCCCATCGCGAGGGGATGTCGCGGTCCCGCAGCCCCGCAGGATGCCGGGGGGCCGGGGCGCGGGGCCGCCGGGCGCTGACCCCGGCCGGTGGCTGCTTCCTGCCCCGGCTGCTCCGCGTCCCCCGGGGACCGGGAAGTGTCTGCGATGGCCCGGCCGGTGCCGCTGCCGGAGCCGTTCTCAGCTACCGCCGCTTCCTTTTCCTGAGCTGCAAATAACAGTGAGTCACCCGCGGCCCCCCCGAGGCGACAGTGCCACCCCCGAGGGGACAGTGCCAGCCCCGACCCCCCCCGAGGGGACAGTGCCACCCCCGAGGGGACAGTGCCACCCCCGACCCCCCCCGAGGGGACAGTGCCAGCCCCGAGGGGACAGTGCCAGCCCCGAGGGGACAGTGCCAGCCCTGAACCCCCCCGAGGGGACAGTGCCACCCCCGAGGGGACAGTGCCACCCCCGAGGGGACAGTGCCACCCCCGACCCCCCCCGAGGCGACAGTGCCACCCCCCTGAGGGACACTGCCATTCCCAAATTTACCTCCCCAGTTAACCCCCTGCCGTAGTTAACACACTTACACCGTGGGGACGCTTCTCCCAGTTCGGGAATTCTGTTCCCAGTTCGGGAATTCTGTTCCCAGTTCTCCATCCCAAACCCCACCCAGGTTTGGGGTTTGGGATCCTCCTGATCCCAGGGAGGACTGGAAGCGCCCCACGGGGACACCGGGGTGTCCCCTCTGTCCCCTCCCGGTAACGGGGGGCTCGGGGGACACCGGGGTGTCCCCTCCGTCCTCCCGGCGGCTCGGGGGGCCCGGGGGACACCGGGGTGTCCCCTCTGTCCCCCCGGCGGCTCGGGGGGGCTCGGGGGGCCCGGGCTGCCGCTGTCCTTGGCACAGGATGCGGCCGCAGGAAAATCCAACTTTCCTGGAAGCCGCTTCAAAGCGCCCGAGGTGCTGGGAAGGAGCGGCTGAGGCGCGCCCGGCCCGGCCCGGCCCGCCACGGCGCCGGGGCCCCGCGGTCCCCCGTGTGCCACCCCCGTGTGCCACCCCCGTGTCCCCCCGTGCCACCCCCGTGTCCCCACCCTGCACTCCCGGTGGGATCACCGCTGGAATTCCCGTGCCGGGAGTGGGAATTTCGGGGCGGGAGGCAATCCCAGAGAATCCCGGACAACCCCGGACAATCCCAGACAATCCCAGACAATCCCAGACAATTCCAGGGGCACCGGGCACCGAAATGGGATGAGGGAGAACCGAATCCCGGGATTTTGGGGCGGGAGGCAATTCCGGGGATGCGCGCTGGGCACTGAAATGGGATGTGAGGAATGGAATCCCACAACAATCCCAGCACCCCGATCACCCGGCGGGATCGAATTCCCTGGAATTCCCAAACCGGGACTGGGAATTCTGGGGCAGGACGCAATCCCAGGGGTGCGCCAGGCACTGAAATAGGATGGAGGGATTGAAATCCCATTTTTTCTCTCCTTCCACTCCAGGAACAACAATCCCAGCACCCTGATCACCCGGCGGGATCGAATTCCCTGGAATTCCCACGCCGGGAGTGGGAATTTCGGGGCAAGACAACTCCAAACAATTCCAGGGCGCACCAGGCACTAAAATGGGATGGAGAGATTGAAATCCCATTTTTTTTTCCCCGTCCACTGCAGGAGCAATAATTCCAGCGCCCGATCTCCTGTCGGGATAGAATTCCCTGGAATTCCCACGCCGGGAGCGGGAATTTCGGGGCGAGACAGCTCCAAACAGCTCCAGAGGCGCGCCGGAACGGGATGGAAGGATTGAAATCTCTCTTTTTTCTTTTCTGCTTTCGCACTTGAGGAACAACAACCCCAGCAGAAGCTGCGCCCTGATAACCCGGCGGGTCGCCGGGAGCATCCGGCAGGGCAGGAAGGAGCCCGGCAGGAGGAAATATTAAATCCTGGGATATAAACACGGCGTCGGGAGCAGCCCCGCCCCGGCGCGGCCCCTGAAAAGCGGGGTCCCGGCGGGCTGCGGCGGCCAGAGCGGGGGCGCGATGGAGAAAAGCAGCTTCGCCATGGCCAAATTCGGGCTGGAGCCCAAGCGGGCGATGCCCAAGCGCGACTGCGGCTTTTACCTCAAGTACATCTTCCTGTTCACGTCGCTGATCCAGTTCCTGATCATCCTGGGGCTCGTGCTCTTCCTGGTGTACGGCAACGCCCAGGCGGGCACCGACTCGCACCTGAGGCTGCTGGAGGAGCGGCTGCAGAGCCACTACCGCCGCGTGGTCGCCCTGGACGCCAGCAACGCCAACCTGAGCCGGGCGCTGAACGCCACGCGGAGGGACAAGGACAGGCTGCAGGGGCTGGCGCTGAAGGCGCACAGGGAGCTGGAGAGGTGCAACAGCAGCCAGGCGGCCCGCGGCATCCCGCAGGCGAGCGAGCGAGGCCGCGGGCTTCGGCCGAGGCGGCTCCGGTCCTGGGCTCCTCTTCTTCCTCCTCGTCCTCCCTGCAGCGCTCCCAGGGCCCCGCGGCTCCTTTCGGGATCTTCTGACCCCTCTCCCCTTCCTCCTCCTCCTCCCTGCAGCGCTCCCAGGGCCCCGCGGCTCCTTTCGGGATCTTCTGACCCCTCTCCCCTTCCTCCTCCTCCTCCCTGCAGCGCTCCCAGGGCCCCGCGGCTCCTTTCGGGATCTTCTGACCCCTCTCCTCTTCCTCCTCCTCCTCTTCCTCCTCCTCGTCCCCCGGGTTCTCTCTGTCACCTTTGGGGACCAGGGTGGTGCTGGGGATGTTTTTGGGGTGTTCTGACCCCTCTCTCCCTCCTCCTCCTCCTCCTCCCCAGCCCTTGGAGCTTCCCCAGTGCTCCTCAATTGGTGCCAGGGGGTCCTTTGGGGGTGTTCTGACCCCCTTCCTCCTCCTCTTCATCCTCCTCATCCCCCGGGTTCTCTCAGTCACCTTTGGGGACCGGGGTGGTGCTGGGGATGTTTTTGGGGTGTTCTGACCCCTCTCCTCTTCCTCCTCCTCCTCTTCCTCCTCCTCGTCCCCCGGGTTCTCTCTGTCACCTTTGGGGACCAGGGTGGTGCTGGGGATGTTTTTGGGGTGTTCTGACCCCTCTCTCCCTCCTCCTCCTCCTCCTCCCCAGCCCTTGGAGCTTCCCCAGTGCTCCTCAATTGGTGCCAGGGGGTCCTTTGGGGGTGTTCTGACCCCCTTCCTCCTCCTCCTCTTCATCCCCCAGGCTCTCTCAGTCACCTTTGGGGACCGGGGTGGTGCTGGGGATGTTTCTGGGGTGTTCTGACCCCTCTCCCCCTCCTCATCCTCCTCCTCCTCTTCCTCCCGCGCAGCTGCAGGAGCTCCTGTTCCAGCAGGTGAAGCTGGTCGAGTGCAAGGTGACCACCACCCTCATCAACACCACCTGCAACGGTAAGAGACCCCCCCCCCCCAGCCCCAAAAACCCCTGGGGACCCCCAGCACCCCCTGGGCACCCCCAACTCTCCCTGCCCACCCTCCTGGGCACCCCCAGGTGACCTGCACCAGGCACAGGCGTCACCCCAAGCCACGCGGTGGCACCTGGGGGACCCCCAAAGCCCCAGATCCCAAATCCCCCAGACCCAAGCCCTGACCCCCAACTCCCCCCAAGCCGAGAAGCTGCAGCTGCAGCGGCAGCTGGACCAGGCCAGCTCGTCCAAGAAAACCCTGGAGGACGGCGGGCGGCAGAGCCAGGCCCAGCTGGCCAAAGCCACCCAGGAGAGGGACAGGTGCCAGGAGGAGCTGCAGAGCGCCAGGACGCGCGACGAGCTGAGCAGGATGGAGCTGGAGGTGCAGCGGCACCGCTGCGGCTCGCTGCAGAGCGACCTGGGCGAGAAGCTGCCGCGCGTCGCGGAGCTGGTGAAGCAGCTGCGCTGCGGCGACGCCGAGGCCGAGCTGCGGCAGATCCGCGAGCGCGTGGAGGGGCTGCTGCGGCGGCAGCAGGAGCGCGACTCGCAGTTCGTCTGGAGGAGCAGCTGCGAGCTGAGCGTGCAGCAGTGCCGCCTCAACTGCTCCCGCGACCTGCAGGAGCTGCGCAGGAGCCTGCAGGGCCTGCAGCAGCGCCACAAGGACGGCGAGGAGGAGAGCAAGAGGCTGCAGGCCGAGAAGGACAAGGCGCTGAAGGAGATGGAGGACAAGAGGAAGGCGGCGGCGGCGCTGGCGGAGTCGCTGAGGGAGCAGCTCGGGATCTGCATGGGAACCAAGGTGGGACGCAGGGATGTGGCACAGGGGACATGGGGACGTGGGGATTGGGACTTTGGGGACACCATGGGACAAGGGACATGGGGACATGGGGACGTGGGACATGGGGACATGGGGACGTNGGGGACATGGGGACGTGGGGATTGGGACTTTGGGGACACCATGGGACAAGGGACATGGGGACATGGGGACGTGGGACATGGGGACATGGGGACGTGGGGATTGGGACTTTGGGACAGTGGGGACACCATGGGACAAGGGACACTGGGGGCATGGGGACGTGGGACATGGGGACATGGGGACACGGGACATGGGGACACCATGGCACAAGGGACATGGGGACATGGGGATTGGGACATTGGGGCACTGGGGACACCATGGGACAAGGGACATGGGAAATGGGGACACGGGACATGGGGACACCATGGCACAACAAACATGGGGACATGGGGTATGGGACATTGGGGCACTGGGGACACCATGGGACAAGGGACACTGGGGGCATGGGGACATGGGGACGTGGGGATTGGGACTTTGGGGACACCATGGCACAAGGGACATGGGGACATGGGGACACGGGACATGGGGACACCATGGGACAAGGGACATGGGGACATGGGGACACGGGGACACGGGACATAGGGACACCATGGGACAAGGGACATGGGGACATGGGGACACGGGACATAGGGACACCATGGGGACAAGGGACATGGGGACGTGGGACATGGGGACATGGGGATGTGGGACATGGGGACACCATGGCACAAGGGACATGGGGACGTGGGGATTGGGACTTAGGGGACACCATGGCACAAGGGACATGGGGACATGGGGATTGGGACTTAGGGGCACTGGGAATATGGGGACTCCCATGGGGACACGGGCACGGCCACCTCTGCACCAGGGTTCTCCTTCCAGACATCTGGATTTTGTTTGTGTGGGAATTTCCTGCTGGGGTTGGTGCCACCTCTGAGCGGTGCCACCTCTGAGCACCCGCTGTCCCCCCAGATGTCCCAGCAGGACCTGCCGGGCTCGCGGGCGCTGGGCAGCGCCGGCCACTCGGGCTCTTTCCTCAGCATGGGCACCAACATGGAGCTCCTGAGGAGCCTGGCCACCCTGGGCACCATGGGTGAGTGCCGGTGGGACTGGGGACACGCCGGGGGCCACCGCGTCCCCCTGGGCGTCCATCCCGTCCCACGGATCCCATCCTGTCCCACGGATCCCATCCCGTCTCACGGATCCCATCCCGTCCCACGGATCCCATCCTGTCCCACGGATCCCATCCCGTCCCACGGATCCCATCCTGTCCCATGGATCCCATCCCGTCCCACGGATCCCATCCCAATCCCACGGATCCCATCCCGATCCCACATTCCCACCCCGATCCCAGCAGAGATGCAGAACCCGGCGGAGCTCCAGCGGATGCTGCAGCTGGTGGAGCAGCACATGACCACCCTGAAGAACGCCAGGTGAGGGGACACAGGTGACACCGGGCCACCCTCCCCGGGCCACCTGAGGGACGCGCCCCCGACCTGATCCCGTTTTCCCACAGCGGATAAGGCTGGAAAAGCCCAGGAAAAGCAGGAGAGCCGCCCAGGAGGTGCTTCCCGCAGCACGGATGGCAACCCCGGCCCAGGGCCACGCTCCCCGTGTCCCCGTGTCCCCGTGTCCCCGTGTCCCCAGCCCCGCGTGTCCCCTCGATGTATCCCCGCCTTTCGGCTGGAGCGGGACAACAGCCGGCCCCGAATCTGGGGACAACTCGCCGCTCGTGTGGATGGAAATCCATGGAAAAATCGGGAATTTTGGGAGTGGGAATTCCACACAAAGGGCTGGGCCATGCCTGAGGACGAGGGACAGCGCTGTCCTTGTCCCCTGGCCCAAACGTGGGGACAACTTGCCGCTCATGTGGATGGAAATCCATGGAAAAATCGGGACGGGGAGCGGGAATTCCATCCCGGCTCTGCACAGAGGGGTGGGACGTGCCCAAGGACAGAGGACAGAGATGTCCTTGTCCCTAAAGGATGAGGGACAGGGTGTCCTCGTCCCCAGGGAAGGACGAGGACCGCGCTGTCCTTGTGCCCCCGGCCCCCCCGGAGCGGGGCAGGGATGGATTCCCAGGATTTATTCCCGGGATTTACGGCTGCGTTTCCTGTGGAAAATCCTTTTCCTGCCGCGCCGCCCCTGCCCGCACGCCAGGCGCCACCGAGGCCTCCTGGAGTGTCCCTTGTCCCCTGGGCCACCCCAGGTGTCCCCCAGTGCCGGGAGAAGGGCGCTGCCACCTCCTGCCACCCCGCCAAGGATGGCGATGCCACCCCCACACCTCCTGCCCACCCCCAGGGTGGCACCGTGGTGACAAAGGTGACAAGCGTGGCAAACTCTCGCTGTCCCCGAAGCTCAGGCGCTGCCAGAGGATTTCCTGGAATTCCTCCGTGGATAATCTCGGAGCTCCAGGTGCTTCCCCAGCCCGGGAGCGCCGCCCGGGGGGTGGCACAGGCCGGGCGGCACACGGTGGTGGGGTGTCCCCAAGAGATGCCACCATTTTTGGGGTGGCAGAGCGCCAGCAGGATCCCACATCTGCCACGGCTTGGGGGAATTCCGCGGATTGAAGCTGGAAGTTCCAACCCCTCACGCTGAGTCCCTGGGGTCGGGGCGCAGGGATGTGCCCGTCACCCAGGGGATGGGGACACCCCGAAGCGGGGACGTCCGGGGTGCCTTTTCCCTTCCGGCTCCTTGTTTGTCCCCCTGGCTGGGAACTGGGACTTTCCCCAGGGTTCCTCTCCCGCATTTGGGGCCGGGACACGCTGCCAAACACGGCCACCAGCGAGGGGACGACACCAAAGCCACCAAAGGCACCACGGTTTAATCGCGGTGACGCCGCGGCCCGGCCCGCGGAGCGCCGGCGTCACTTCCCGACGCAAAAGTCCCTGAAAATGATATCCAGGACCTCCTGGGCGCCCACGTGCCCGGTGATCCTGCCCAGCTCCCGCCGCGCCAGCCGCAGCTGCTCGGCCGCCAGCGCCAGGTCCCCGCCGGCGCCGAAGCGCGCCAGGGCCGCCGCGCACGCCCCGAGGTGGCGGCTGTGCCGGCTGCGTGTCAGGCTGGGCCAGCCCGAGAGAGGGTCCCCGCACCTGCGCGGGAGCGGGAGCGGGAGCGGGGAATGGGAAATGGGAGTGGGAATGGGAGTGGGAGTGGGAATGGGAGTGGGAACGGGAACGGGAATGGGAATGGGAGTGGGAGTGGGAATGGGAATGGGAATGGGAGTGGGAACGGGGAGTGGGAAGGGGAATGGGAATGGGAATGGGAATGGGTGTGGGAACGGGAGTGGGTAATGGGAGTGGGAATGGGAATGGGTAATGGGAGTGGGAATGGGAATGGGAAATGGGAATGGGAACGGGAATGGGAATGGGAATGGGAACGGGAGTGGGAACGGGAATGGGAATGGGAATGGGAATGGGAGTGGGAATGGGATTGGGAACGGGAATGGGAATGGGAATGGGAACGGGAGTGGGAATGGGAACGGGAGTGGGAATGGGAATGGGAACAGGGAAATGGGAATGGGAGTGGGAATGGGAATGGGAGTGGGAATGGGAATGGGAGTGGGAATGGGAACGGGAGTGGGAATGGGAATGGGAGTGGGAACGGGGAGTGGGAATGGGAATGGGAGTGGGAACAGGGAAATGGGAATGGGAGTGGGAATGGGAATGGGAGTGGGAACGGGAACGGGAGTGGGAACGGGAACAGGGAAATGGGAATGGGAGTGGGAATGGGAATGGGAACGGGAATGGGATTGGGAACGGGAATGGGAATGGGAACAGGGAAATGGGAATGGGAGTGGGAACAGGAATGGGAACGGGAATGGGAATGGGAAAGGGAATGGGAACAGGGAAATGGGAATGGGAACAGGGAAATGGGAATGGGAGTGGGAACAGGAATGGGAAAGGGGATCAGACATGGAAAGGGGATCAGGAACAGAAAAGGGGATTGGGAACAGAAAAGGGGATTGGGAACAGAAAAGGGGATTGGGAACAGAAAGAGGGATTGGGAACAGAAAAGGGGATTGGGAACAGAAAGAGGGATTGGGAACAGAAAAGAGGATTGGGAACAGAAAAGGGGATTGGGAACAGAAAAGGGGATTGGGAACAGAAAAGGGGATCAGCCATGGCAAAACCGGATCAGGCACCCCAAAAACCAGGACGAGGGTCGGGGATCCCCCCGGACTCACAGCTGTGCCAGCTGTTGGGTCAGCAGCTCCAGCAGCGCCTCCAGCCCCTCGCCCGTCTTGCAGGACAGGAGGGTGACCGGGGGTCCCGGGGTACCGGTGGCACTCGGGGAGAGGGTGTCAGGGGGTCCCGGGGTACCGGTGGCACTCGGGGAGAGGGCGTCAGGGGGTCCCGGGGCAGGGGTGGCACTCGGGGAGAGGGCGTCAGGGGGTCCC